GTGGGGAGGGGGAAAAAAAAAACACAAGAGACGAGATCTGGGGGTGTTGGCCTTCCAGTTAATCGCAGCTTTTCCTTCCCCCAGCAGCTCTTGGCCAGGGCTTGTCCCAGCAGGGCCCCGTGCCCGCCGGAGGCCCGGGCAGCCCCCCGGGTGAGGATCCTGCCCCTCCCGCCCTGCAGGGCCGGGTCTTGCTGCTCCCCGGCGGATTCCAACGCGCCGGGTGGGCTGCAGCTTTCCTGGCCCCGAAGCTGCGCTTCGCTTTTCACCTGCGAGCAAGTGAGGTGCCCGTCACGGCTGGGGATGTCGGGCCAGCAGGAGGAAATTCAAGTGTGGGCAAAGGTCTGAATACGCATTTGCAGTAAAAGTTGTATTTAGCTCGTGCTGTGGTGACAACTTTTCAGAAAAGAAATGAAAAGGTATGAAATTATGGATCAGGCAGTGAATGTGTATATCCTTTGGCACATCTCTTCTAAACTCACTCCGTGACAGGGAGTAGCTCAAGTTTCAGCCTCACAAGCTCTGTAACATGCCAGAGATAGCCATGATAGGTAGAATTCAGGTCCTCCCAATTTTTTTACTACCTCAGTGCCACAAAGGGGAGGGCTGTGCTCCTGTTGCTGCAGAGCCAGGTCCCGGTGTGGGCTGGGGGCTTCCCGGCAGCTGGGAGCAGGGGGGACTCCCCGTGGGGGCAGCGGGGCTGGGCCTGGGTCCCAATCCCACAGAAATCCATTTCTAGGCTTCGTATTTCTGCTTTGCACCCTTCTGTCTTTGTACTTGTTACTAACTTCTTACTTACTGAAGCTGTATATCTATCTTACCTTTTGGTTTTGAAGTAAAGCCTTTTGCAAGTTCCTGTATGAAGAGTTTTTCTCTGGTTATTGTTAATTGTGTCAGTAGTTTCCCTGCTGTGACTTACTTGGTTTTTCCCTCCCCAGGAGAATATACCAGATTTGTGAAGTGGGATCCTCATTTTGTGAGTTCACACTAATGGTCTTTACAAAGAATAGCATCCTTATTCTGCTCTGCCCAAAAGTGAAGCACTCCCACCTTTTATTTCTGAAGAGCATGATCTGCAGTTTTTCTCTATTGCATGTTCCATTTCCTCTGGTATGTACTTATCTTCTAATGTGTCTTATCTTTTGTTAGCTGTCCAAAGATCATTACCTCTTAACTCTTCAGCTATAACTGAGTTAACATGGCACCTGATTCAAAAGAGAGGAACTGGGTGAAAGGTAGTTCTCCTCTGAACACTTGAAGAAAGGCAAAGGCAAGCAAAAGTACTATCAGTTACAGGTAGACAGGTACTATTGCCCATGTAGTGAGTATGAACTACCCCCACAACAGATGTGGCACATTTAATTAAGGCACAAAAACAGGGAAACTGATCAATTCATGTTGGCTTGAGAGGGACAGAGAGTCAATTAAACATATACACAAATGCACATACTTACAGGAATTTTTTACTCAGTACAGGAAATTTTTGTCCAGTCATCTGCTGTTGTTAGTAACCCTGCCAGACGTGCACAGAAAGCTAGGTAGCAATGTGTTGTCATGGTACCATGCAGCACCTTCAGAAAGATCACACCAGGCCTTCATATCTCACATAACAAATGTTATAACTCCCATTGGCCCTCATACAGCTCCGTAGGGTTCAGGCTTTACACAGTCAAGCACAGTAAATGAGGCCATGACAGAAGTTATCAATAAAGAAGTCTGCTTTAAAAGACAAATTACTTCATGAGGATGTACCAGCACAAAGAAAAACTAATACCTTAGGTTACCTAGATAATTTAACAATGATCTAGGTACCATCAGTTAAACAATCCAGCAAGTTTTCATACTGATGTTAATACGATCCCACAACTACTTAGTTGCATTGCATTAATACCCAGGAGATGCAGCAATGGGTGAGGAATTTGTTATGGTAGATAAAACACAAACACAGGACAAAAGTATCCCAGCCCTGTTCTAGAACTAAAGAATAGATCTATTATTGCTAGAGAATAAAGGACAGCAAATTAAAAGGATTTAAACTGTGGCAATGTCATATTCAATGCAGCTGAGAGCAAAGACATGTAACCATAAGCCACCAAATGAGGTGTCTGTGGGGACATATCTGAAGTAATAATTTATAGCTCCCTAAAAGCTGCAACAGATAATGTTCTGCTAACCAGAAAGGCCAGAGGATTTTGATCTAAAGCACTTCTTGCAAGGACATGCCTTCTTCACATGCAGGACACGTGCTTAAAAGAGGGCATAGAGCAAGAGAATTAGAGGTTAGAATTGCTAAATCTGTGCTGCTGAAAAAAACCCAGCTGTTAGTTTTCAGACTGCTTTGCACTGTTCTTAAGAAATCAGCATGCCAAAAATATTTATGTTTGCTTGTATATAATGACTGCTTATCCCTCTCTGAGAATGTAACGCTGTTCCATGAACATTAGTCAGTGCTGTAGCAGTTCATAGGTTCCAGGTGAAGTCAGGAATTGAAACAACTCAGGAGCAACAGGAAACAGGAATGGAGAAAGGTACATGCACAACACATACCAGGCCAGGACACGATGCTCAGGCCTGGACTTAAAACGAACTTCTGGGCCATGGGCATTGGTGATGGTTCCTGGTGAGACCAGACTTTTAAGTGCACTCCTGGCTCTGATGTAAAACTGCAG